TATATTCCATGGAAATATTTTTATAGTAGATGAGGTGGCCTACGTGTATATATGTTTCTAAACGTCCTCTCCTTCTCACCTGGTTCTGTCTGATAAAGGCCTATTCTTGCTTCAGAAGTCAGATCAAATACCACCTCTTCCAAGAAGCCTCTTTGGATCCTCCAAGTGAGAATAACTCCCTTTCCTATGCACTTGTAACACGTCCTGCCACATCTGGTTGCTGACACTTGCCTCCTGCCTTGTGTAGCTCCAGATGACATAACATGTTTTGGATTTACCTTTGTGCCTCCCATGACCCCAACAGAAGCACCTCATAACACTGCAATGGTTTATTGAATTGGTAAGAAATCATTTGAGGTCCTACAATCCTCTACAAGTTTATAAACCTTTACCGGGATTTGGGCTGTTCCAGTTCCACAACAGAAATGACCTCAATCAAAGACTCTTGTTCTTAAAAATCTCCTTTTTTCCTTACAATCAGATTTTATGTTGGCTTTCTGTACCAGAACATTTGCATTAATTTAATACATTAGTAATTAGCACTGGAAAATAGCAAACCCACATCCAACAGGTTAAATTATAAAGGTTTTTTTTTTAATCAAATAGGAATATGGCAGTCATCAAACTTAAACTAATTTGAACTTTGCCTTTACCATGAATTTCACAAATATTCAACCAGATTCTATTCAATGTGAAGGCAACGGCATCAAAGCCAGAACTTCAGTTCTATGAAGAGTCTCTCTTTTAATATTAGCTGGTGGATAAAAGACTGGTAAAAGAACTTAAAATTTCAGAGTAAAAAGTACATTACTTCTACCGAAGTCAACTAAAGGGACAAACTCTAAATTTACCAAGGTCATCTAAAGAGACAAAAATAATGTTCTTTTTATTAGCAATTTGGAACAACAATTAAATAACATTCATTTCATTGAGATTTTTATATAAGAAATGGGAAAACAATTCTTCACCGTAGTTATGAAAATACAAGAGAACCTGCTGAGTCTCCGAAACATAGTAATCCTCCTATATTCCGTATCTTCCCTTGGGCCATGTGTGGTGGTAGTGTGATCCTCAGTTAAAAAGCTTACTGATAAGAAAGATAAAAGATCGGGAAATAACAAGAACACTACTGAGGTTTATAATGAAAAGCAAGCTTAAGAAAAAGATGAAGTAATTATTTTCAATTATACCACATTCTATGAAATATCAAAAAATTCCCATTACATTTTGTTATAACATGAGAAAAAGCTCCTTGGTCCATGAATGAGCTAATCCAACAGCTATTCACATAATTCCTGTCTTTTAAGGGAGAATAGCAGTCAGTGATCAAGAAGGAAAGTACAAGTCACAAAAAGGTATGAAATCTTACTTTTTCATCATCTTCAGTAAATGGAGCACCTTCAGGAATCTTATTTATCGCTTGGGCCACACCAATAATCTCACCATCACTGCTTCGGATAGGCATGCACAATAATGATTTTGTCTTGTATCCAGTTAGCTTGTCAATTTCATCATTAAATCTTCGATCCTAAAAATAAGACAAAGACAGCATTAACTGCAGTGCATTGTTGTCAGGGAGAAGGAGAGAGAAGTGTATTTCTGTATATGATATCTTATTACTGGGAAATTTCCCCATGGATTTTTAATCACAATAAGAGATTCGTTTCATGTTTAATTCACCAAAGGAACATAAATGATAATAAATTACCACCATAGTTGTCAGCCATGGTAAGTGAAGAGAGAACTTTAAAACCCAACAACAATATATCAAAACTGGGGAAGGGACAAGTGTTTTTAAGGGAACCCCAGAATATAGTATTTACTAAAATACTATTTCACAAAGACAACTGGGTATGAAATATCATTTAAGATAAACGCATAAGAAAGTATTTACTAAACACTATGAAAAAATATTCAGAAGAGAGCTACTTTATTTCTGGTCAAAATGATCCTGTAAAGGAAGAACCTATGAGTCCATAGTGATATTTCAAAATACTCCCAAAAATGGGGGTGGGGGAAGGAAATAAAAGGCTTTTCTATAGAATGCCAGCTAAAAAATGTAGAAGAAATGATGAAATTAAATAACATGTATTTGGCAACTACCAATATAATACTGGTTACGAGCAAGGGTCATCAATGGGTTATCATATCATTGGGTGAAAGGAGGTGGTTAAACAGGATATTCACATAGTCTCAAAGTGCCACCCTAAGATTCCTTATTAAGTACAAAGATAAAAGGTGTCTTTATAATGAAGAGATCTGGCAGAAATCACCCTAAACAAATAACCAAACTTGGCTTCACCATTAATGACAAAATAACAGCATTAGCTTCCTGATGTGTTGTGATGGGAAGGACACACATCACCAAGAACAGAGTGTTCTTGTCAAATGTGTATCATGAATCTAATCATTCAGGAAAAGAAAATTAAGAAACATGCAGATTTTTGGCATTCTTTCAGAAGCCTGCCCTGAACTCATAAAAAAATATCAGTAACGTGAGAGACAAAAAAAAATTAAAAATGAAAAATAAATAAATAAATAAAGCCATGGGAGCTGTACTGGTTTAAAGAAGACTTGAAAGACTTGAAAATCAAATAAAATGTGTGATACTTCACTGGAAATTCCAAAAACTCTACAAAGGATATTTTTGGGGGGATGATTGGAGAAAGTTGAACATGGACTTAATGTTAGGTCATACCATGCATCAACATAAACTTTCTTAGATGTGATAGTGGTGGTGTAATTATGTAGGAGAATGTCTATTTTTAGTATATACATGCTAGAGTATTTGGGGGCAAAATGTCATAATACCTTCAATTTACTTTCAAATGAAAAAGGAAGGAAGGAAGGAAAGAAAGAAAGAAGGAAGGAAGGAAGGAAGGAAGGGAAAGATTGGCTCCTGGGGGGGTAACATAGACTAAAAATGCTCCAAGGAAGATGAGAAACTGGATCCAGGCTCACCATTTCAAGCCAAGGGCTGGAGTGAGGCTTCTCCCTACGCCCTCCACACTACGGTAGCACTGCTGCCACCACCATCAGGAGCTATGGGTTTTATCTGACTCAGGGCCTAGGGACGCTGCCTGTGGACAAGGTGATAGCCTCAAGACCAAACACACGGCGATCAGATGCCTGCTGGCGCTCTGACTAGGGCTGTGGTATCTCTAATATCACAAGGACAGGAGTCCTTAAATGCCATTATAAGGCCTGGCTCCGGTCTGGGGACCCGTGGAGGCTATCCTAAACCCTTTATCAGGGAGGGGAGAGCTCAAAAGAAGAGGGGGAAATCAAAACTGAAACAAAACCAAATCTCCTACTTAAAATGAGCATGCAACCAAACTCAGAAAAACACTAATTTGTATTCATTTTTTGTATTCACAGAGGAACCACTATGTGTCAGGCTGTGGACTAGGAGGTACAGCAGGAAGCAAAAGCACCAGCCCGGCCTTCCTGGAACTTGCAATCTAGTAGACGAGGCAGATGACGTATGAATGTATAATTATATATTCTGGTAAGTGAGCCTGAGGAAAAGAACAAGCTGTGTGAGACAGACTTAATAGGAGGAACCTGTTTTTATGGGGATCAAGTAAGTTCTCTCTGAAAACAGAACAAGTAAACTGAAACTTAAATCGTGAGTAAGAATTTGCCAGGCAAAGAATGGTGGAAAGAACTTTCCAGGAAGGTAGAACAATGCATACAAAGGTCCTAAAGCAGAAAAAAGCTTAGTAAGCTCCAAAACTCGAAAGTTAATGTGGCTAGAGCACAGTAAGCCAAAGGGAGAGTGAGAGAGGGAGCCAGGGACCAAACGGTGCAAGTCTTACAGGCCTGGAGAGGAGTTAGATTTAATCCTAAATGCAATGGAAAACCATCGCAGATCTTGAAACAGAAGAATGGTATGATTCACTTAGCACTTAGAATTTTCTGAAATTATCTTACTGATATACTTGTACTCCCCCCAACTGGAATATAAGATTGAAGACAGTAGAGATTTTGTCTCTCTTATTTACTGCTTTATCCTGGCATATTGTAGGTGCTCAGTAATATTTTTGAATGATATTTTTTAAAAGATTATACTGCAATTATGCAAAACCAAAGTTGTTAAGGCCCTAAGGTCCCACATTTCACTCCTTGTCACATATTTTGAGACATTTTTGCACATGTACAGCAGAGGAATATGCAAATGTCCACTGCAACATCGATTATGAAAATAAAAAATGGGAAACCACTTGACTGCTGATCAAGAGAAAAATAAATAAATAAATAACGATCTCTTAATTTGATAGCATACTAAGCAGCAATTTAAATGAATAAACCAGAGCTACTTGTTACAGCACAAACAAATATCAAAACATAATGTTAAGTGAAACAAACAAGCTGCAGTCTGAATCTATATAATACCACCAATATCTAAAAAAAGGCTACGTATTGTTTGTGGATTCAAATATGTAGCAAACTTATAAAAATATGAACGGGATTAATAAGCACTAAATTTGTATTCGTGGTTACCTGTGGAGAGGAAGGGAGGAAGGGTAGCAAGGAGAGGTGTAGAGGAGGCTTCAACTCTAACAGTAAAGTGTTCCTTCTTTAAAAAACAACGAAGGAGTGAGATGGCAGTTCTCTGGAAGCTGAGTGTCCTCTGTAGTGCCCAAGGAGGCTGATCTCTGTTTCTGCAGGTCCCACTGGTCAGACCCGCACACATCTCAGCACTGACCTACCCCAGGATGGTGAGGAGCACAGCACGTTCACCTGTCGCCCAGCTGCCACTCTGGTTCCATGGACTGGTGACAGAGGGATAGGATTTTGCTCCTAGCCTGGTTCCCACTGCTGATTTGAATCCTCTCTCTGCAAGGGACGACTCCCTGGCTGCAGCCCTCACTTTCCACAGCCACTGGGCCTGGGACCACTTGTTACTATGTCCGTGGAGATTCATCACAGAAAGCTGCCGAGGCAGGCCTTTTGGCACTCCGAGCTCCTATGCTAGGCTTTGTTATTTCAGCTTCCATGAGGTGGGCATCTGCAAAGCTGGGGCTGTGCTGTGGAAACTCTGACCTTTGTGACTTAACACCTTAAGACATGATTGTACACCCCTCTGCCTCTGCTCTGTCCTGCCATTCAACTGACAATGAGGAGGAAATAACAGATAAGTCCATTGTTGAGATAAGCCTCTTCTCCTAATCACACAGTTATTTTCAGAATTTAATCTTTGAGAAAAAGTTTGAGAGGAATTGTATCCAAGATATTGTGAGACTGAGTTCTGTACTCTGATGAGTTAATGGGATTGCCTTCCAGCTTCCCACAAAACTCATAGTACAACTAAACTTTATATTTTTAAATTTATTTATTAATATTATTATTTTTTACATTTTAAGATGTTGTTGCAGAGCAGTTGGGGGAAGGGGAGATGGGAAGAGGAAAGGAAATAGGGCAAAAGGACTAAAAAGGAGGGAGGCCTTAGTTGAGGCCCGTGGCACCACCCTCATTCCATCAAGGGAGACCAGGGGGGTTCCGGCAGCAGCTTGGTGGTCACTGATAGGCTGGTTGGGGATGTTAGGGGGCGTGGCCAAGCATCACAGAAAGGCCCTTGGCTCCCCATTGCCCTCATTTGGGAGCCTAGGGCATGACCTGCAGCGACTTGATGGTTGTTGTTGCTGGGCTGGGTGTGGTCTTTGGGGGGTCGTGGCTGAGGCCCCCAGCCCTTCCCACTCTCTGGCTTGGGAGCCCAGGGGGCTTCTGGTCGTTCTAGATTTTATAGGTTTTCTTTGGTGCTTTTAGACCTTTACTAATTAATATCAGACTTTGTCTCTGGTCTGTGGATATTTTCCTTTCAGTTCTGTGTTGGAATATTTGTTGTTCCCACCACTTCAACTCTGCACTGGAACTAATTTGTTGTCCTTTGCTTACTTCTAAAATGGAGGAACTTCCTGTGGCGACCAGCACTCAAGCTCTGTGGTTGGGCTAAATTGCTGCTTTGCTGCTGATTCCCTGGGGAAGGTTTTTTGTGCAGCTCAGGTTTTAATTGTTGATTTGTATATACTTCTGGGTCTCATGAGGTCTGGTACACTTGGGTTGTGTAGAAACTCTGGTCTGGGCCTAAGTCTTTTCAGCAAACTGCTCCCCCTGCAGATCTATATTCCTGACCAGTCTCCTCTGAGTGGTCCTACGTTGATTGGGGGGCAGATGAGCTGTCCTTGCTGTGCCCCAATGTTCCCCTGGTGGGCCTGTCTCCCCTACCACCTGTGCTCCAAACACTTCTCATAGGAGAGGCCATGCACCAGTCCACTGTGATGACTCACCAGCCTCTGAGTGCCTCCTTTTTTTCAGTTGTCTGTGACCCCTTGCTCCTATGTGGGTGCACGGGAACCTTGCTTGTGGTCTTGCTGGCCTGGGGGCCGCCAAGGCCTTCTTCTCCCCCTGTGACCTCCAAGCAACTTCATCCGAAGGGCACAGCTGCACTTTTGCCATCTCTTAATCCGTGAAGCCTTGAAGTGGCAGGGGCTCAAAATGGTGGGAGCAATTGTTTCTTTCTCTCAC